GTCCAGGCGGGTTTGGGATGGCTCCAGAGGGGGAGACTCCCCCACCTCTCTGGGCAGCCTCTGCCACTGCTCTGCCGCCCTCACAGCAGAGAAGGCCCTCCTCAGGTGGAGATGGAACCTCCTACGGTCACCTTTGTGCCCGTTCCCTCTTGTCCTGTCACTGGGCACCACTGGAAACAGACTGGTCCCATCCCCCCGGCACCTCCCTTGAAGGATTGATCAGCGTTGAGGAGATCCCCCTCAGTCTTCTCCTCTCCAGACTGAACAGCCCCACGTCCCTCAGCCTTTTCCCACCTCCTCTCTCATTCTCCCCACCGCACTAAGTTGGAGCCATCAGGGAGCGTGTGATGCTGCCGCCTCTCCTGGGGTCTCTGAGCCATCACCCCTGTCCTGGTTTGAGGACACCACATACGCACCACATCGCCTGTGCCCCCCAACTTGTGTTTTTGGGCCTCTCTCCCTCCCGGCTTCTCCAGCCTTCGTCCATCTCTCCAGCTTTGCCTCCTGGCCGTCGTCCTTGTGCTGCTGCGCGGGCTGGTGGCTGGGCTGGTGGTGGGCTGTGCAGTGGTGGCTCTTCAGCGCCAGAGAGTGGCATTTTTCTTGCATGGTGCTGAGGGGTTGTTAACTGCCGCTCCACTTCTGTCGGCTCTTCGTTTCCCTGCTTTTTAGGGAATTGCCTCTTTAAACACATGTACAACTAAAACCCAGTGCATAATGCATTACTCTGGGTCATCTCCGTGGCGTGGCTGGTGGAGAGCGGGCGCAGCTGAGGTCTGCGCGCACCGAGAGCTCCGCACCGGCTCGGGAAAACCCCTCAGCACAGCCACTGCCTGGGGGGGGGCACGGGGGGATTTCTCTCGGAGCATATTCTCTTGTAGCAAATGAGGGGGCAGATGGAGAATGCGTGGTGGTGCCTTGTCCGGACCGGTGCGAGGAGAGGACGTGTCTCTGCTGTCAGTGTGGTGGGTCAGTGCCCGGGGCCGGATCCTGCTGCTCCCGCGCTGGGGATGCAGAGCTCAGGGCCGGCGAGCAGCGGCTGCCTGCGGTCGTGCGGGAGACCCCCAAGAGAGGGGCAGAGGGGTGCAGGGGTGGAGCTGGCACGCTCCGAGATGCAGAGGGTGCTCCTGTGCTTTGCTTTACCGGTGCTTTGCTTCTCCTGGGGATAATCCGGGTCAGTTCAGGCCACAGGGGCTGAGGCATGAGCCATCGCTCAGCTCTGAGGAGGACCCCAGGACGGGACTGCTCGGGGAGGGGGGACCCCTCCACGGGAGAGCCAGCCCGGCCCTGCGGCTCATGGACACTGTGGCTATCAAATTGCTGCCTGGATTTAGCATTTCCTCGGCTGAAAATGCAGCATTTAAGCCTGTGATGAACTAAGCTGTCGCTTCAGT